TGCACACTGATGGTTATTGTTTGAAAACTAAATAGACCATAGAGGAATAAAACAAGCCCAAAGCCAGCCAAATGCAAATCCTGACATTGCAGTTCATTCAAGCAAGAACTCCTCAGCTACACAGAACCTTTGAGTGAAAGATTGCTGGGAGCAAGGTTTTTTTTTTTTTCTTTCTTTCTTTTCTCCAGAACTAGGGTTTGAACTCAAGGGCCTCTAACTCTTACTGGGTTGATGCTTTACCACCTGAGCCATACCTCCAGACCAGCTTTTTGCTGGTTATTTGGGAGAGGGAATCTTACAGCTTGTGTGTGTGTGTGTGTGTGTGTGTGTGTGTGTTGTTTTTACTCAGGTTGGTCACAAGCTTTGATCCTCCAGGTCTGAAGCTCCTGATTAGCTAGAATTACTAGTTTGAGCAACAGTACCCAAGAAGGCACAGGATTTTTGCATTATTTCAGAGAATCTCAGCACAGATTACTTAGGAAGAATATGTTGTTACCATGAAGAGATAAGGAGGTCACTGCCTTAACCAAGTGACCTGTTTTTTGTTTTTGTTTTAAACAACATGTTTAACATTCCCTGCCAAGAATAGACAGTGATAGCTCATACCTGTAATCCTAGATACTCGGGAGGCAGAGATCTGAGAATCCCGGTTTAAAGTCAGCTCTGGTAGGAAAGTCCCTGAGGTTCTTACCTCCAATTAACCACCAGAAAACCAGAAGTGCTGTGGCTCAAAATGATAGGGCGCTAGCCTTGAATGTAAAAGCTCAGTGACAGCACCCAGGTCCTGAGTTCAAGGCCCATGACTGACCACAAAAAAAAAAAATTGGAGACAATTGGGGAAAGTCAAATATAGAGTATATGTTAGATTGGCCTTACAGAATTATTGCTAATTTTCCTCAGTGTAGAAAGGATATTGTATTTATATAGAAGGCTGGCCTTCATCTTTGGTGGTGTGCATGTTGGAGGTAACCACCTTGACATTTAGAATTTCTGGTGGGCTCAGAAAAGAAACACACAAGATGGCAGAATAAGTTCAGGGATGTAATGAGTACAGCAGGATGGTGAGAGCGAGCAGGAGAGCCAGGAACCACGGTGGCTCATGCCTGTAATCCTCGCTATTCAGGAGGCTGAGATAGGAGGATCATGGTTCCAAGGCAGCCTGGGCAGGAAAACCTAAGCCACTCTCCAGTTAACCAGCAAAAAGGCTAGACGTGAGAGGCTCCATAGAGATCCCATCCCTAGCGCCCATTCCAAAGTATCTCAATACCCCCAAAGGAATTGGTTCCCAGACCCTTCCATCTGGAGATCTCAATCTCTTTTATAAAATGGCATAGTATTTGCATTCTCCCATATACTGCAATAAATCATCTCTGGTTACTTATACTTGATATGATGGAATGCTATGGAAGTAATTCCACCGCATTTTTAGAGAATAATGACAAAAGAAAGTGTACATGGTGAAATTTGTTTGTTTTTCTCCCGGGATTGAACTCAGAGCCTTATTAGGCAAGTATTCTAATTACTAGCTATTGGTTACTCCTCCAGCCCCTACAGTTTTTGTGTTTTGTTTTGTTTTTCTTCCGGTACTAGGGTTTGAAACTAAGGGCCCTGAGCTTGCTCAGCTGGTGCTCTACCACCTGAGCCACACATACTGTCCAACTTTTTTGCTGGTTATTTTGGAGATGGACCTTCTCAGATTTTGGCTATCTTAAAAATCACGCTCTTAGGCATGTGTCATCAGCACGGGGCATTGGCTGTTGGCTTTTGGGGGAGCGAAGGGCTGTCTTGGTTCATGTTGCATGCATCTAATTTTCACCCTTTACAGTACTGATACATAAACGAAGTAGGAGCGAGAGAAGCAAAGAAAGCCTCTCGGTTTTTTTTTCCCCCCTTTCTCAAGCCTTGCCTTAAATTTCTGGGTAACAGGAAGAGCTATTTAAGAGCCTGAGGCACCACTCCCTCTCCCCCCTCCCCCTTTCAGCTCAGGTCCTATTTTCCATTATCCTGGGCAGCTCTGTGCGCATGCTCACTTGGGCTGCTGGCCGCCTGTTTGAGCACGTGTCTGATGTCTCTGCGTGCATCAGATCTGGTTGCGCATTGAATGCTTGCTATGGGACCGACACCCTGCGGGAGGCGTGGCTGCAGCTGGACAAACTTTCCATTGCAGCATCCCTGACAGGAGGAAAACAAGTATGAACCCCTGGCAGGGCTTGGGGAAGGGGGATACAGCAGGCCTGCCCTGAGCTGGAACACAAAACAAACCCCCTGAGGCTGGCCTTTAAAAGCTATGAGAATGTTCCAGTCTTCTTTGTAGTGGATCTATGTTTGCTTCAAGGTGAAAAACTACAGCCTACACCAGTGGCTCACACCTATAGTATTAGCTACTCAGAAGGCAGAGATAGGAGGATTGTGGTTTGAAGCCAGCCTGACCAGGAAAGTCCGTGAGACTTGTTATTTTTTATTTTTGCCAGTCTTAGGACTTGAACTCAGGGCCTGGGCACTGAACCTGAGCTGCTTTTGCTCAAGGCTAGCACTCTACTACTTGAGCCACAGTGCCACTTCCGGCTTTTTCTGTTTATATGGTACTGAGGAATCGAACCCAGGGCTTTGTGCATGCTAGGCAAGCACTCTACCACTAAGCCACATTCCCAGCCCCTTCCCCTGTAATGAGACTTTTTTTTTTTTTTTGGATTGGTCACAGGGTTTGAACTCTGGGCCTAGGCGCTGTCCCTCAGCTCTTCAGTTCAAGGCAAGTGCTCTATCACTTGAGCCAAAGCGCCACTTCCGGCTTTCTGGTGGCTTATTGGAGATATGAGTCTCACGGATTTTCCTGACTGGGCTGGCTTTGAACCGTGATCCTCAGATCTCAGCCTCCAGAGGAGCTAGGATTACAGGCGTGAGCCATTGCCACCTGGCTCCAATGAGACTTTATGTCCAATTATCCACACACAAAAAAGCCAGAAGTGGAGCTGTGGTTCAAGTGGTAAAATGCCAGGCTTGAGTGAAAAAGCTAAGCAAGAACACAAGGCCTGGGACTGGCAGAAAAAGAAAACTAGGAGAAGAGCCAGCAGTGTTATTTGATTAGACGGTGAAGGCTTCACTCACCTCTGACATCGGGCATCCTGTGGAGCTGAATCTGAGCCCAGTTCCAAGCAGAGCACACAGGCCATGAGAACAGAGCAGGGCATTCCATGTAGTTCTGCTGCCAACTTCCCAGGGAGAAACACAGGATGCTCACAGACTGCACAAGAACAGAGGCTACAGTGTTTGTATGATAGCATCAGTTCTGAGAAACATCTCAACTTCAGGAAATTATGTATGATAAATTATGCATCTTTGATGCTATTAAATAGTATATTATTTTCCTTCCTTCCCTCTCTTTCTCTTTTTTCTTTCTTTTTCTTTTCCTTCCTTCCCTCCTTCCTTCCTTCCTTCCTTCCTTCCTTCCTTCCTTCCTTCCTTCCTTCCTTTCTTTCTTTCTTTCTCTTTCTTTCCTGGGACTTGAACTCAGGGCCAGGGCACTGTTTCTACACTTCGTGTGCTTAAGACCAGTGCTCTACCACTTGAGCCACAGCTCCACTTCTTGATTTTTTGGTGGTTAATTGGAGATAAGACTTTCCTGTCTGGGCTGGCTTCAAACCTTGATTCTCAGATCTCAGCTTCCTAAGAGTTATGGACAGGTGGGAGCCACTGACAGCCAGCAAACTCTTTCTTCCTTCCTTCCTTTCCCTCCCTCCCTCATCTCCCTTCATTCCTTCTAGTGCTGGGGATCAAACCCCAACACAGAGCCCGTCTCATTCTAGCAAGCACTCTACCATTGAGGTACACTATATTCCCATAAGCCCTTTTGTTTTTTGCTGGAATACAGAAATTGAAGCTTACAAGGAAGACTTGTGGATGCTGGTGGCTCATGCCCATAATCCTAGCTACTCAGGAGGCTGTGATCGGAGGATCGTGGTTCAAAGCCAGCCAGGCAGGAAAGCCTGTAAGACTTATCTCCATTTAATTACCAAAAAGCCAGCAGTAGATCTGTGGCTCAAGTGGTAGAGTGCTAGCCTTGAGAAAAAAAAAAAAAAGCTTAGGGACAGTACCCAGGCCCTGAGTTCAAGCCTCAGGACTAGCAGCAAAAGAAGAAGAGAACTAAAGGAAATGAGAATAGAGATACAATGGCAAATAAAGGAAGAAGAGAAAGAAGTTGTTTGGTCAGGTGGGAGCGTTTCAGAGTGTCACTTGGTCACTGTGCAGGGCGGTTACTAGGCAAAAGCTTTCTCACTGGGATCTCCCCAACTCTCTTCCCTGAATGGACCCCATTTTGTATTCTTCACAGTTCTCTCTCTCTGCAAAGAGGCAAGTGTGCGGCTTACAACTGCCTTACAATTACTGCATTGTTGATCTCTGTTTTGCTCTTAGAAAGGATGGAAGGCAAAGCGGCCTGGTGGAAAGGCACTCAGTACTCTGGGTGCAGAAAGCCAGGCACACACACATCCTAGCCCTATGACCTCCTGCTCAGCATGGGGGCCACCTTCACCTGAACCATCACTGGAAAGTGGGGAGATAGGGGGGCATTGCCAGTCTCTGAACAGGCTTCCTTGCAGCAACACTGTAAAGATCAGAATTAGTTAGCTGGTGCCAGTGGCTCATGCCTGTAATCCTAGCTGCTCAGGAGGCTGAGATCTGAAGATCGAGGTTCCAAGCCAGCCCAGGCAAGAAAGGCGATGAGACTCTCATTTCCAAGGAACCACCAGAAACGCAGACGTGGTGCTGTGGCTCAAAGTGGTAGAGTGCTAGCGCTCAGGGACAGTATCCAGGTCTTGAGTTCAAGCCCCACAACTGACCAAAGAAAAATCAGATTTATTGACCTCCTAACTGGCCATTGCTCTAACAACCAAAAAGGGATATTACCTTTCAGTGTGCTGGTCCCGAAATCTCCCTAACAGGGTCCCGTGCGTGAATCTGCGTAGACAAAACTTCCAACAGTCTTTCTGTGTCTTCAGCAGAGCTGTGAAGGATCACTTTGGAAGCACTCGGTGTGAGGGACGAGCGCATGAACCAATATGGCGCTCCCCTTTCAAAAGGAGCTGGAGAAATACAAGAACATCGATGAAGATGAGCTCCTTGGCAAACTGTCAGAGGAGGAACTAAAACAGTTGGAAAATGTCCTCGATGACCTTGATCCTGAGGTGAGTGATGTGGAACCAGAGCAGAGTGGCGCAAATCCGTCGGCTCTGAGTGCGAATTCTGCATTCTTCCTTCCTTGGTCCTCGGTCATTTACTTTGACAAATTCATGGAGAAGTTTGCAAATGTGTTTCTTAGCTATCAGTTCCATGTGAATGAGGAATGGATTTTCCCCCCCATTGATTGAGGAAAAACATTAATCTAACTTAGGGAAAGAAAGGATTTCCAAAGTAATCTACTAACCTCAAATACATTTTTTTAACCTCAACTACATTTGGGAAGGGGGCAGTACTGAGACTTGAACTCAGGACCTCTCACTCTTCCTTAGCATTGTCACTCAAGGCTGGGCATTCTTCCACTTGAACAATACCTCTACGTCTGCCATAATACAGAAAATAACTTGAAATCTGTGACAGTCGTATGAAAATAGATAGATTAGAATGGCTATAAATCTAATATCAAATAGATTTAAATGGGGCTCTGAATTTCTTTTTCTTCTTGTTGTTGGCTGAGGAGTTTTGAACTCAAGGCCTACATGTGTCTCTGAGCTCTTTTTTTTGTTCAAGACTAGCACTCTACCTCTACCACTTTGAGCCACAGCTCCACTTCCTACATTTCTTTATGAGTGGGTTTTTTTTTTTGTTAGTCATAGGGCTTGAACTCTGGGTCTGGGCGCTGTCCCTCAGCTCTTCAGCTCAAGCTTAACTCTCTACCACTTGAGCCACAGCGCCACTTCCAGTTTTCTGAGTGGGTTATTGGAAATAAGAGTTTCATGGGCTTTCTTGCCCAGGCTGGCTTTGAACCATGATTTCAGATCTCAGCCTCCTGAGTAGCTAGGATTGTAGGCATGAGCCACTGGCACCCGGCTCTTCATGAGTTCTTATAATAGCAAGCTAACTTATTATTTGTTTAGCCAGCACTGTCTTTAGCTCTGATGTTATTTTCTTTTTTCTGTTGTTCTTAAAAATCTTTTTTGAGGAAGTGGTGCTGTAGCTCAAGTGGTAGAGCGCTTGCCTTGAGCTGAAGAGCTGAGGGACAGCGCCCAG